CAAAAAGAAAAATCTCATCATCTGCCTTACAATCTCTCAAGTGGTATGACACCACCAGCACTGTCAACCAACTAAAAACATAAACACATCCTTCCCCTGCCCCTACCCCACTACATCATCAAAGGCTGTCATTTTCTCCTCTAAATATTTCCTGAACAAGCCCTCTAATTCCTACTGCCATGCTTTTATGCTCATTGACAAAACACTATAAACTCCCTCCTCTAAGTAGGTCATCCTACTTCAGAGAACATTGTCTATAATTCCTCCTTCCTTCAGGCCTCAAAAGTTATCTATGTGAAACAAAAATCTAGCCATTTTTACTTCCTAGTTAAAATGTTAACAGCTTCCAACAGCCACTGGGATAAAACCCTCATCTTATTTGAATACCACGTGAGGTCCTTCCTAATGGTGTTTGTTTTCATATCCTTCCCACACCCTTCCACCCACCTGACAGCCCAGCACACTGTGGCAGGTTGCTCCCCAGCACCTACCATGTTCTCAGTTCACTCTGGTTTCACTCTTGCTTTGCCTTACGACCTTCACTGCCTGTACCTCCTGATGTACCGGGATAACCTCTCATTCTTCTCCACTCAGATGTCGCTTTGGGGAAGCCTTCCCCCCTCCCCACTGCCTCCCCTCTACCTTGTGCACCTCCATCCTATCCTCAACACCTCTTAGAATAGTCGTCTTCTTATCTCCAGTCACCCTACTACATCGTAAGACTGATGAAAGCAGTAACAATGCCTGAATCATCGTCGTACCCTCAACAACTAGGTTAGTGCCTGCATGTGGCAGAAATGCAATCAAGATCTGTAAGATGAACAAAGAATGGCATTTTCCCAAATGAAGAACCAGCAGGGAAAAAATAGAACCCTAGACAAAGAAACACAATAATTAGAATTTCATGATACCCAGATTCAACTCTTAAGTCATACGTTAGAGTTGGCTGCACATTCACCTCTCTGCACACCAATTTTCAACCATCCAAGGTGAAACTAAGATTCAGGATAACAATGGTACAACTAACATGCACTTCAGCATTCATCTCACAGCGCTCCTTTGGACAATTATGAGCCCTGTTTTGTTGTTGTTTCTACATCTTGTCCAAACCTCCACAAATCATAGTTGCTACTAATTTCCTCACTACCTCTTCACTTCTACTTCAATCTAGAATAAAACTTGCTCCTCGCCCCCATTACCAGAGTACCGTCCTCTCCCAGCCACTCCTTCTCAGTCTTCTTCACAGAGTTATCTTTCCCCAGAGTTTCCCAGGGAGATGACACCTATTCATGGGAGTCAGTTCCGCCTGCATGACAGTAACTTCCCTGACTCTGGCCCCAAGCCAGCCTTGGGTTGACTCACAGCGGCATCAAAGTTATATATTATCTTAAACCACAGTTATTTTCATCTGTCTTTCTTCCTGTTCTCTACATCTTGGCAAACAACAGCGATCCTCACTACTTGACAAGGTTAAAATACACAAAAATCATCCTGGCTCTTCCTTCTCCCTTACTCAACCGCAGTCAAATATTCTCCCAGTTCTACTTAGTATTCCTCTTTAGGACCTCTCAAATCCACCTACTTTCTCTGAGGACACAGCTATTGCCTGACCTTAGACTTTCAGCATTCCACACCTCCTCTCCTCCCTGTTTTTGAACTTACCTCATTCTACTTCCCGCAATGACCAGAGAGTGATCTTTCTGACACAAAAATTAGATATTTCTTTCCATTGACACAAAGGCCTTGAATGGCTCACCCTTTTCTGTTTTACAATAAAACCTCACCTCCTTAGAATAACCATTCTAAGTCTCTTACTACCTTTCTTGCATCTCTTTGATCTCTTACTATGCTATCTTCTTCCATAATTTTGAAGCACTTGCAGTTTTCCAATATTTCATATTATCTCATTCCTTTTGCCCTCACAAGCAATGCTCCCCATGTTTAAAATGCCCTGTCTCGGGCAGCACCCGTGACTCTGGCTCAGTGGGTAGGGTGCCATCCCCACATACCGAGCATGGCGGGTTCAAACCCAGCCCCTGCCAAACTGCAACAAAAAAATAGCCAGGTGTTATGGAGGGTGCCTATGGTCCCAGCTACTTGGGAGGCTGAGGCAAGAGAATCACCTTAAGCCTAGGAGTTGGAGGTTGCTGTGAGCTGTGTGATGCCAAGGCACTCTACTGAGGGTGATAGAGTGAGACTCTGTCTCTACAAAAAAATAAATAAATAAATAAAATGCCCTGACTCCCAGCATACCTCCTACTCCACAGCCTAGTTAATGCAAATTCATTATTCAAGACCCAGCTAAAACATTACCTCCTCTGCAAAGTCTTTCTCCCCCTCTCGGTACAATCTGAATTAGACATCCCTCTTGTAGCATTCCTGTATAATTATCACATTATGATCATTTGTGACTTAGTTGTCTCTCCTTTAAATTGTAAAACAGTCAATATGGTCAATTCAACTTTAAAAGTAATTAAAAGAGAGAGTAGTTTTCTGTCATGTCATTGAGAGTACAAATTGATAAAGCCTCTTTGGCAGACATTTTGGCAATATCTTTCAACACGCTAAATGCATATGATGTTTGACCCAGTAATTCTACCTCTAAAAATCTCTTCCATAGAAATATTCAAACATGGGTACAAACATATATTATAAAATTCTGATGGCAGCATTGTTTATAATAGGGAAAAAATTAAGAAAGTGATTTGCATTATCAGCATAAAATACCACTCAGGTGTTTAAAAATACTGACTCACAAAGGCATATTGCTAGTGAATTAAAACTGAGTCCCAGAAAAAAAAGCAAGTATGATACAGTATACACCAACCAATGTCTACACTGAGACACATTTTACCTATGTGAATGCTTAGGGAGAAGTCTGGAAAGGCTATCCCAAATAGTGAAAAATTATAAAATGGAGTCAAAAGAATAAAACTTCTACGTTTTATCATATGCACTCCTGTATACTTTATTAAAGAGAAAAATATATTGATGAATTCAATTAACCACTATCATATGAAGAATGAAGTAATAACATTACTTTATAGTCCATAACAGTCTTATAGACAGTCTTGTTTTGTTATATAAAACAAAAATATTACTTTCCAATAAAACTAAAAGTAGGGACCACAGAAAGTGGCTCCTTGTCTCTAGACCTTAAGTATAATTTTCTTTCAAAGAGTGTTTTTATCAAATAAAAAAAAATCCATAAACTTGTACTCTGGCCAACTGATTTATCTTCTCTTAGAGGGCAGACATTAATATTAGGCAATATATGCTCCAACATGATTTGTTCTATATGTAAAAAGAACACATTTCCTAGAGGTGGAAATCTGGTCTCAGCAACATTATTCCTCTCACTCTCCAGAAGCTTCAGTCCTTGACATTTACTCCTGTATTTTTTCTGAGAAGAGACTGTAAGGGAGAAGCACAGGATCCTTTCAAACCTAAAGAGCCTCCATCGATTATGTTTCAGAGTGCCTATTGGTTTAAGAGTTACTGGACACGCATGATTCTCACAGATAGGTTCGTTTTGTTGAGCACAAATACACAAAAAGACACAATAAACACACAAGAACTCCAGAGAAGTACTGACACTCTGCTGCCTCTCTTCACTCTGACAGCTCAAATAAATGAGCACAACTGAAGACAAGCTCATTAGCAAAGCAGGGAAAGCAAAGGGTGGGGATGGGACCACCGACACAATGACAGAACCAGGACTCCTCCACCTGCACACAGAACCCTTTTCCCGCTTTCTCTCAGGCCTGTGCAAACTGTCAACAACATTTTTTCAAAAACTATTACTATAATGAATGTTATCTTTCAAGACAGCAAGACAGAGTTGAGTAAAGCCCACAGATAAATAAAATGATACTCAAAAGAAATGAAATGAACATTCCAGAGTAATAGCCTAGACTTATTAAATCTTTACCAATGGATTATTTCAGTAAGAAATATATCCAGTTGGACCTAGAAGATATTATACTAAGTGAAATAAACCAGACACAGAAAGAGAAGTATGGTCTGAGTCCACTTGTATGATGCATTTAAAATAGTCAAATTTGTAAAATCAAAGACTACAAGGGTGGTTTCCAGGGGTTGGGAAGAAAGGGAAATGGGCATTAAGTCTCACTTAAGTTCTTAAGATGAACAAGCCCTACAGATCAGGATGTACAACATGTGTACCTACAGTCAACAATAATGAACTGTACACTTAAAAATTGTTAAGAGGACCAGGTGGGGTGGTTCACACATGTAATCCTCGCACTCTGGGAGGCTGAGGCAGGAGGATCACTTGAGCTGAAAAGTTCAGGACCAATCTGAGCAAGAATTAGACCCTGTCTCTACTAAAAATAGAAATATTAGCCAGGTGTTATGGTGGGCACCTGTAGCCCTAGCTACTCAGGAGGCCAAGGCAAGAGGATCATTTGAGCCCAAGAGTTTGAGGTTGCTCTGAGCTATGATGGTGATGCTGTCTATCCAGGGTGACAGAGTGAGACTCTGTCTCAAAAACAATTTTTTTGTTGTTGTTGTTAAGAGGCTAGATATCATGTTAACTGTTCTTACCACAATAAAAACAAAAGTCAAAAAAGAAAAATGTTTAGATAGCCAGATCTCAATACAGCAAAAATTTGATTTCTGAGATACTCTAAGATAACGTTAAGAGGTCACAAAGAAATAGTATTTTAGTTTAAAATATTAATAACATATAAAAAGTACTTAAAACAATATACCCATGAATCCTCCACTGAAATTAGACAGATATTAACAGTTCCACCAAATTTTCTTTTATCTTTTTCTTTAAAGAAAACAATGTTATACATACATAGTACATAAACTTCTCCATCCCTCCTATGCCCTTCAGTTCCTGTGTTATCATTCCAACATATCCTCTTATGCTAAATTACTATAACACCACCGCATAAGTGGTTCATAAAAAACAAATATCAATGTATTATAATCAAACCTACACTTCTACAACTAAAAGTTGCAGTTATCATTTTTGAGACTTCATCTTGTAGCCAAATTAAGTACTGTACAGAATTCCATAGATTATTAAGTTACCATTTATTGATCCACATCTCCACATAATTAAGTGTATACTACTTTTTCATATAACAAATACCGAACTATATATGCCTTATTGTGCACATGTGAAAATAGCAATCATAATTATGAAATGTCAAAGAAAACTTCAAACTAGAAAATAGAAATTAATTAATCTGAATATTAAACAAACCAAAAAAAAAAAAAAAACTCATTTAACAGTATTCGGCTTAAAGGTCTATTTTATAATGACCTCAAAGAAAGCACTGCTTTCCATTTCATATGCCGCTTTTCCTTCCTGTGTTAAGAGACTAAAATCCCTCACATAGTGAATAATATGCCTTATGGTCATAAGGAAAACGACACAATATGCATTCATCATGTCTTGGTTTTGACTCAGTTCTGTGACTTTCAAGAAGACTAAATTTGTGTCTGTGCATGCTGGTGGGGAGGTAAGGAGTGGCACTAGCTGCCTCTTTATCCTTCATTTGTTCTCTTTTTAAAGCTGGTGCACAGTTATTTCTGTAAAGTAGGAAACTAGGAAATTCAGAAAATAGATCTCTCTGCTCAACTGAGAGCTTGCAAAAATAACTAGAAAAGTTAAAAACAAGAGAGCAGATACTTCACTGCAGCACTCCTTTCAAATGGAAACCAATGTGATGTCAAATTAACTTAGGTGACGAGAAGAGAGTGGTATAATCATAACCATTCTGATCCTCCCACAAGAGAACATAATTGCCTATCCCCTAATTTCTTTGAGACAGTAACTTTTATGGCTTGGAGGCCTAGATTCTTCCCAAAGTGTAGCCTTATCCCTAGATAAAATTAAAACGTTGGATAGAGGATGTGGTAAGAGGTGAAGAAAAGCATCATATAATCTTCATTATTTAAATGCTAAGATATTAATAAAAGGGTAGAGAAGGTGGGGAGAGTACAATACCAACAGGCTCGGAATTCTTTGTCATAATTTAAATTAAAAAAATACTTTGAAAAATGGGCAAAGGATCTGAATAGCCATTTCTCTAAAGAAAATATACAAAATAATAGCTTATGAAAAGATAGTCAATATCATTAATTCATCAGAGAAATGCAAATCAAAAACAGAAAAACTACTTCACACCCATTAGGATAACTATCATTTAAAAACTGGAAAGCGGCTC